GAGATGATACATCTTTGCGGAACTCAGGAAGTATTGGTTATGCACGAATATTCATTTGTATTACTAAAAATAATGGAGGGCTTGCACTGAGGAGATAAACTTTCTGCAAATATATTGGCCTTCCCCTTATTGAAAGAAGCAACTTCTCCTTTATTATCAAAAGATGGTATATCAGTTATTTATCTTTGAGTTTTAAAAGCTTTTTTCATTTCAAATAAATATATCAGACGGACTTAAAAATTGCCTTCGTATTCCAAGGGTCGTAAAAAAAAGCCTTCAATTTGCGTTTTACCGCATTACGTGTTTTGTTAAGCCTTACTTGTCACATGGGGCAGGCCTTTTCATAAATATTCTTTTTAATCGTCTATGTTTATTGATGATTTTTTTAAGGAGAGAGAAAAGATATATTTGAAGTTATTTAAAATTTCATGAGTCTATGATAAGTTTAATGAGTAATGATTTTTTTATAAAGAGAGAATAGAGTAGTAAATTACTAAACACCATGTGCTTGACCCGACTTAACTTTTAACTAGAAATAACACCGCTCGTGCTTTGATGGTAATTCATAAAGGTTAGTAATGCACAGGAATTGGAATTTTCTTTAATAAAGCTATGTCTAACTCGTCAACGGAACCTCTATTTGGGCGAGGTGTGGGTTCAAAGGGGGTTAGGATATAATCTCCAGTGTATCCCGCCTAATTATCTATAATCTTACCATTTGGATTTTCCATCCTGCTGTTCCATGAAGAATGCTTGCTAATTAGGTCTCCACTAACATTATTGTTAAATAATTTATCCAAGTTCCTTTAATAATTCTTTCTGCGAGGACTTATAACGAGAAATACTATTTACTGAACTAAGTTTTTTTTAACTGTTGCATACACCGGTACACACTTCCCATGTTTTCCCGACCTTGTCGATATATATTGTAATTTAGTAAATAAACTTATCGGCATTTTTCAAATGGGATATTATTATTAAAATGAAATCAACACTCATTCTATTGGTCAACTCCTGGAGCTCCAGTTTTCATTCCTTGTACTGTCGGCAAATATTTAAGATGATCATTGTTACTTGGTGGTTTTATCGATTATTAAGTTTTAAAAATATTAATAATCTATTTCGATAGTTGAATACTTATCGCCACAGTTAAAGAGTTGACTGTTTATTCAACAATAAGTTCATCGAGACTAGTCGAAGGTTGAGTAGGTTTTCTATAAGGCTTGAGCGTAGCCTTTCACAGAAGGTACCACGTTTTCCTCAGTTTGAGAGATAGAGCTATCAGTATAATTTTCCTTTTAAGCGTTGCATTTTTAGGGTAATACAAACAGCCTCTGTAGCTTGCAGTGCGCTCACCTTACCATTTTACACATTAGGTTTATCTTCTTTAGGTTTTGGGCAGAATATGAAACCGTGGTTTTCTGCACATTTAAAACAATTATATCAGGAAGTGATAACATAGCGGTTTGCCCAAATAATTGGCACATTGGCCATTTCTACCTCTTTCTTTAAGATTTCATTGAAGCGAAAGTATAACCAATGTTTTTCACTCTTAGGTACTATTACTAATACGAGAAGCAAAGGGGTTCTGTTCTAATTATATTTTCTCATTCTGATAACTTCAGTGGGATGGAAGCCTTGATATCTCAGTTCTCTTTTAACACCTTTTATATTTATTTTAAGGAATATACCGAGAAAAACAACCTTTAGTAGGAGATAAGTGTAATACTCAAAGGTTTCTGAAGCTAAAAGAGGGGTTAAAAGTATGTGGTCTTGCTCACCAGCGATTAAATCCTAATAATGCTTCCAATTATTCGCTTCAGAGATTTCAATGGAGTTTATTTTATTATTAAAGCTACTACTACTAGTACCATTATTATTAGTTGTAATGTCATTATCACTATAGTTATTATTACTTTTGTTTTCGGCTAATAGTATTACTATCACTGGTTTCATTAGTATAGTTATTATTATTAGTATTATTTATGTTTATACATCTGTTATTACTATATTCGTAATTACAGCGGTTATAAGATTTTAAGTTAGTTTCCTTGCTCATAATACTATTTGTAAAAAATTTTTTACTATAAATATGGTTATATTTCTTATTATCATTAGCAGTGTCCACAAGACATCCAACATTTCGTTATCCTCTACTATACTTGTTTCATACGTTTCCAATCTTTCCAAGGTTTGAAGGGAAGTATATGGGTTAGAACCAGTAGTAACTATGTTATTATTTGACTAAGCAGATTCTTCTCGTCCTTAATACATTTTTTATAACCCCTTTATTGCCTTTCAAACAGCCTTAATTTTGTTTTAAAAACTTCTAGCTCCTTTTTAAGTCCCTTGTTTGCGGAAAACAAAGCGGCGGTAAGTTCTTGTTACTCGCTGCGAGTAGAAGTGAGACCCGTGGGAGGAAAAAACTAAGAAAAAAAATAATAAAATAAAATTATTAATATAAAATTAATAAAATAATAATAAAGATATTAATAGCAATATTATTGAATAATAATTGGATAATAGATATATAAATAAATATATGAAAATAATAAAATTAAAGAAAAGCTTTACTGAGGAAGTTGAATGTTTAGGTATAAGTAAAATTTATAGTAAGGCAGGCATTGTGAGTTGCCACTTTAAAAAAAAAAGCGAGTATTATTTCTCAGATTTTATCAAGTTTTTAAAGTATTTACATATATATATATAATAATGATAACTTATGCCTTGAAAAAATTAACTGTTTAAGGCAACTTATTAATTGCTTCAGGTCTTAAAAAAAGTTGTTATCCGTACACCTCTTCGATGCTTACGTCTGAGCGTAGAATGCATTTTTTGTTGTTATTGTTGCGGTTGCTGGTGAGTCGTGTTCGTGTCCAAGAGAGCGATGTACTAGCTTATCGGAGCTTCGTTAAAATAAATGAACGTTTAAAGCATTTTTGGAGCGATTTGGTAGCGTGTTGTAGACCTTTACAGCCGCAATAGTGGATGGTTGTGTACTTCACCGCAAGTTGCATCAGGACCAAAAGCTTATAATAACATGTAATTTAAAATAGTCCTAAACATTTTAATTTTCTAAAGATTTAATCAATTTTAAGTAAAACGGCAATACAAACTTGGAGTAAGGTTAACTCCCTAATTCATTTTATTAACCCTATCCACATTTTAACGCACTGGGAGGCCGCAGAGCAGAAGCTCCCACTACGCCCGAAGGCCTGTCCAATGTGGTTACTTTTCGTAGCTTCTCCACTTTAATCTGAAGATGGAGGACTGTCTTCAACTCTAACAACTTTTGAACCTCGGTATATACTTGCTTTGCGCGTTTACCATTAGTTACATCCTCAGTGTACAGCTGTGCCACACGCAAAGGGAAAACGAAACGCCTGCTTGTGCCCCAAGGCGGGGCATCGTGGTCGCAATTGTCATCGCGAAAAACAAACTGGGAATATGGACAGGTAAAATGTGGTAGCGCTTCATCACGTTTAAAAGATGTGCTTGTCAGTATTCATCTACTATTGTCGTTCCCTTAACCCCTGTTCGTGAACTTCGGGACTCGGCTCCGTTGGCTTGCAAAACACGGCGTTCACTTTAAGCGTGAGGGGATCTCTCATAATGGTACTAGAAGGTTAGACAAAATCTGATGCCTTCTGGACCTTTTAATGCGTCGCGCTTTATTCAAAGTTTAAATTTATAATTATAATTAGGGCTAATTAAGAACTGACAGAAATAAAATTTACTTAATATCTAGTAAAATATTTTCTCTTAATGTCTTTGTTTTAAGCCTGCTTGTATTTTATAAAAAATGTTGCTTATGTGGTACCTATAAGGCCGCATTATCCTCATACGCCGATCCCATCAGACGCGCGTGCGAAATGTGCCGTCAAAAGGAGGTTATTCAAAAGCATCGAAAAGCAAGACACTTTTTAGCACGAGGGAGCTCTCTGCTCGAGCAATGACGCTAGAAATTAGAAGCTCAAGTACTCGAAGTTTTTGGACTCAGCTAAGAATACTCTTTCTATAATCTAATATTTTTTAATTGAGATTTTCTTGTCGGCGAATGCAGAAAAAACCAGATCAGCAAAAAGTATGCATCTTAAGTCAAAACTTTAAAACGTGTAGTAAAGTTAAATGTAAAGCGCGCCCTAAACGTAATAGTAAAAAGACACCGGAGAAGGTTTATTGAACTTTGTTACACGCAAATTAAATAAAAAGTAGTACTTGATTAGGGTACTCATATCTACAAATGCCAATATATTATTACAAGTCGCCCCAAGATTAAAATACATCTTTCTTTTTTGTAGTTGACTTTCATCTTAAGGCAATTTTTGACTGTTTATACTTTGTAATTGGCCTATACATGACATATTTCGCTCTTGTCAAGAGCAGTGACAAAGCTTTATTTTTCTGGCTTATCTACAAATTTTTTCCTTTTACTATGGGTTTAGAGTAGGTAATGGCCTCTCTTTTCTTTTTCTTAATCTGCTATTGTTTGACACTCCACCCTTGCTTGTAAGTAGCTGCGGAAAATTAAAGAGAATCGGCTGTTACTTCGGTAATTTACCAAATTTTGCACTGTTGTAACTGTTGCCATAAACGTTTTGTTTAATAAAAAATGTTTACTTCCTAGCTTTTATGGATCAGATTATCGTATTGCAAACAGTATTAAGCAATTAGGAAAACAAATATGAAAAAATATATTATACTGGCGTAAATATTATAGGTTTATAAAACCATTACTTTTATTCTAAATTTATTGTGTTAGGTACTTAAACTAAACAATTACAAATTGATATATTAACTTTAATCCAATGAGAAGTGATAAATATATAATTGTAATTTAATTAGAAAAAATCTTTAATGGTTATACGAAAAAATAATACTAAATCCTAAACTTAATAGAACAATATATAATTATTTAACACAAGGTATAGTAGATAGATCGATGCTAGTTTTTCAATAAGTAATATAATAAAGTTTATCTTTATTTTAGTAATGGGGCTTCAACAGAACTGATTTTTACTTAAAATGGGGAGTTCGACCTCGATTTGTTGATCCCAAAGTTTTTTTCTGATAGGTCTGGTACGATGCATAAATAAAAGATGTGCCAACTCGTAAGTCTTCATGCGAGCTATTTTAAATAAAACACTAGTTTTTTAACTACCAATAAAAGTGTTAGTAGTATTGTTATAACCATCAAACGTTATATTTCGCGCCCTCAACTCTGCGAGAAGATCGCAGTGCTCCAATTTAAAGCATTCATGATGAATGGATCCAATTTCTTTTGTTTTTTCCCATCTAATTTTATTTTCCAAGTTCACCAGTCGATGTATGTAGCCATAAAGATCTAAGCCCTATAAATATGTAGATTAACGCGAATTCCTTACTATACTATATTTTTTATCACACCTCAAAAGGTCCCTCGTCCCCAAGAAGTTTTAAGCGAGCACGAACTTCGGGGATGGTAACACTAAAAAGTTCATTATTAAATTAAAAATTAAAGTGTGGTTGAGCTTTGTAAATTTTATTAACTAAGCAACGCAAAGGTAGGACCCTCCTTTACCTTAATTTTGATATCAAACGAAGATATTTGGAATATCATGCACTTTTAGTTACCAATCTTTTATAACGTTAGATAATTATAACTTTTACTATTTTTCTATTAAATATATAAATAAGAGGTACTAATAAATAACTAACAAAAAGTCACATTTATATTAGAATTTATGTTAAACTTATAAGCAATCATTCAATGTTTCCTTGTTTAAGGAAAACACACTTTATTAAAAACGTTAACGTTATTGTTAATGTAAGTAATATTTGATTGAAGAAAGTAGGTTATGTGAAAGCAGCTCAATACTAGATTTTCAAATACATAAAACACGTCAATAAGTTAAGATTATAAAAAGCTAAGAAACAGTTATAAAAAACAAGTAACTGTTTAAAGCTTGCCTATTAATCAGCACAATTCTCGTAGTAGGATTTAACACATGATAAAACCTTCAACTCTTTTAATAAACCCAAAAAAAACCTAAGAATTACTATTTTTGAACAAAACAAGTGTGATTAATATACTAAAACCCAGGCTCCCTCGAGCGCTACCACATCCCCCGTAGCCGAAATGAACAATAAAAACCTCAAAACTTCGACCAAACCCAAAAAACTAACAAAAAACACCCGCACTCTTCTGAAAAACGCGAAGAGAAAGGGTGTTTATATACCTTTCGAAAAATACACAATAATGCGAGACGGAATACAAGCATATGCAATCCATATGATTGAATCATAATATTGTACGTAGGTTACGTGATACTTTTTTACTGATAAAACAAACCGCTTAACATTTTTTAACTAAGAAAATTTATTATTCTCCTAGCCTAAAAATAGGGGGTGGAACGGACTACTTATAAATGTTTACAACAATTTTTATCTAAAACTTATATTATTAAGTAATTTATGCGTTTCACGATCTAAATATTATAGTGAACAATAAATAATTTTTGTTTAGTAAAGCCTTATTTAAAAAAAGGAATATGTATTATTAATTTTAATTTTAATGTCTAGTTGATAAAAATAAGTATCACTTTTTAGTTACTAGTTACAAAATAACTATTAAACCATTTATTAGTCGCTGTTAATATTTTCATTAACGCTGCAATACAGAAACAATTTATTTCGAATAATATTATTTATATAAAGTTAATGATTATAATATATATATGCAAACTTCTCTGAATTCAGTCGGACTTGCTCTTTTAAAATTGAGCTTGTGGGCCCCGAAGCCCAAATTTTTAGCCGCGGATTTCTTATGGCCAGATCTTTTTCATAAAGCTCATTGGTTGTTGTAGCAAGCTCTAACATTTTTTCTATTTGTTCTTTATTAAGCTAGATTTTAAAAGTGAATTACAGACTATATATTACATTGTTTATTAATTAAGAAAAGTAAAGCATTATATCTACATAGCTTAAAAAAGTACTTTTTGAACATTTATTGGTATCTTCAATTGTATCTACCGAACAATATTTTTTTTTAAGTAGCTCGCCTTAAAAAACATTTTATAAAACTTTTTTTAACACAATTTACTATTTGAAAAAGTAAAACACTATAATTACTAATTTAGATTTAAAATAAATCCCGAACTTTCAGGAAAGACTTAATGTATTATAATGCATTTAAGATTTTTTTTTTCTTTGTACTCTTTACAGATATAACACAATTTTATTACTTAACAAGTAAAGCACTTTAAAAAATACTTAATTTTAATTAGGGAAATTATGAATTACTAAGTCAATGATGGCTACTATATATAATTTAAAAAATTTTAAATTTATTTTGTAAGTAGAGCCCACCTGATATGTACAAGTTTTATTTTTAAAAATCATTTCACAATCATGCTCGAGCTTTGCAAGAGCCGCCTTGATGGGATACCGGTAGGCGGGGTTCCGCGGTTCGGATAAAAGAAGCTTTGCAGCCTTAATTAGATCAGAGCAATTCTATAAAACAAAGAATAAAAACTGATTTTTATTGGAAATACATATTTTTTTCTTAAATTCATGAAACTTTTTTTATCACATCTTTATATATACAATATTTATTTTAAGTTAGAAATGGTCCTTCATAGGTTAAATCTTTGAACTCCTTGTAAATATATAAAAAAGTCAGTTGTACTTCCAAAGCTGAAGACTTGTGCTTTAGCAATATGGGACCGGGCTCTGGCGAACTTTCAATGCAAGCTGAATATTGTAAAAAATAAATAACTACTAACAAAAAGCGTTTAGTTACCTTTAGAAAATATAATAAACCTTAAAATTTAGTAAAAATTTTGTCTTAAGGCATTATTACGCTGGTAAAAGAGTATATCTAGGCAAATTTAGGCTTAAACTACTAATTTACGGCCTACTTTGGTAGTTATGCAAACAAAATTATAATTATCTTCATATGCTGACAAAAAAGAAGTAAGCCTTTCTGACTATAATAGGCTAGATAATTATAATCTAAGCAAAAATCAAAACTAAATTTTGGTATGAATATATATGCTAAGGCACGTTAATTATTTTATTATTTTTAAGGCTGACTTTATAAAAAAAAAGGTAACTGTTTATTAAAATTAGAGTAAAGAAAAATCAAAAAGCATGTTTTTTGTTCTTACTTATCCAGTGGTTTATTGAAAATAATATTTATATTTTATAACAATTATTTTTTTGTTACGCTATTGTCTCATATAGTATCTGAATTTAGGTTAGTTGAAAGGAAGTTAAAAAGATGGCCCAGAACTGTTAGTACTAAGAAACCTTGCTAAGTAAAACTAAAACAAGTCTTAAAATAATTTTATAATAAACACAAAACACCGATAATATACCTATTACCACACCAAAAGCTTCCACTAATCTTCTTACATCAAAGTTTATAAGAGTATACGTTTCAGCAACTACGTCTTCGATAATTTTTTTTAAACGAGAGCGGACTGAAGCCTCTAGCTGTGGATCAATAGCAAAAGTAGAAAATAGATAATTAAAAATTATAAAAAAGTTTATTACTATATCCTTGAATTTTTTTTCGTCCTTAACACAAGTTAAGCTAATAACCGAAGAGTACGAGCTCATTCTATTAAAAAGATTACAAATGTCATCCGTTAAAAATTTTAAAGTAACTTATTGAATGGATATAAATATTCGTTAGGACATAAACAAACGAATTGTAATGTTTATAAATAATGATACAAAGATTTACCTAAAAATTGACTTTCATTAAACGCATCAAAAGTTAATTAATACACTTATACTTAAATTGGTAAGGCATGTTTTTCTACTTTTGGCATGGTTTAACTTATCAGTTAATTTTATTTTGTTTTTCTTAAAACTGGTTTGACAGTTAAAATAGCAAGGTAACCTAATATTTTGAAAATTTATATAACTAATCATTATACTCTAATATAGGTAGTTTAAAAAATGTAATTAGATAATACTTCAGATGTTTTAGATATTTACACAAAAAATGAAGGGTTATTAACCATATTAGTTACTTAGTTTATATAAATTAAAAATATGGTAAACCGGGTGTTAATGTATACTTATAAATACATTTGTAGAGAAAAAACAGGTTGAAAGTACTTTGGAGTATAAACACTTTTACTTTCATGTACTTATCAATTTTCTTATACTTAAGGCTATTGTATACAGAAATAGTATGTGGTTAAAAACGGCTGGACTGTCTTGTAAGAGCTAACTTTTGTAGCTTTTATTATTGTCTTCACCTGATGAAGCGCATCCATTTTTTTCAGTTAATTATCTAAAGGTGTTATGACTAGTTAAGGTCGATGAAAAGTAGAGTAAACGGCAACTGATTAGAAATTATGACAGTAGTAAGCTATTGCTATAAATTTAAAAAATTAAGCGCTCTGATATTTATTAACCACTGTTCTTTAAACGAAACTTTTATTTAAAAATATGAGCAGTTATATAATATTAATAACTTTTTTAGAAGCACTTTAAAGTTTATTTTATAAGAATAGATCTAATTATTTATTTAAAATACTAAGTATACCACTTAGATAATAACATTTAGGTATGTCAATTGTAGTACTTTTAATTGTGGCTTATATTAGCTTTAATACAATAACTTTTACTTAAGATATGAATAAAATATGATGGGATCGGCATCGTTTACTGAGGTTAGTTTCATATTAGCTAAAGATTTAAGCATGCTAAAGTTTAACTTACTCTAACTTCTTTTTATTATCTACCTGTTACCTTAACTACAACTTGACGGATTACGGCCACTATCCTTTTCTTTTACAGTCATTATAATGTTGAGGCTTATGTCAGCGCGTTGTTACCGCCTTTAACCGTTATTTTAAATTCCTAACTTAATTTTTCAAATTAAATTAAGTAATTTTACCAGATTGTAAAGGCATTCACTTAAAAACTCTAATTTCCTCTCTATAAGTAGGTAGTGTTTTGATGTTAAGGTATTGGATATCTGGTGAACATCTTTTATATTTTTTATTTGATTGTTGTTCTTTATTGATGGGTCAGTGCTGATTTGTAGGTTAGACACCAACCATCTTTACTTCAGCAGAAAGGAGGCAGACTCAGCCTAGCTGGGGATGTGCGAATTTTATACAGAAATTGGTGGGTGTGATAAAGCAGAATCCGTTTTATAAAAGGGGACACAAGCTAATTTTTTATAAGAACGATCAGAGTAGGGAAGAAAACGTTACAATATGCAGATAGTGTTGTGTATAGTTTAAAAGTTTTGGTACGTAATAGGGGAACTTTGTCTTTGATACAGAGCCTTGTTCAGAGGATTAAAATGAATGCCAATTATGAGAAATGTTATGAAACTTGACCTTTCAAAGTAGTTTTATAGGGTAGCGACTTACTAATCTTGTAAAAGTATGGCGTTAAAAGTCCTTATATAAAGATTCAACGTTAAGGTAGATTGTTACTTGAAATTGGGTTGTTGAGGCTTTGTAGCAATTATGGTTGGTATATATAATAATAAGGGGCTAGTAGTTTAACTAGAGCTTGAGAGCGCAAAAAGTGGAATGGCTAAAGTACCGAAAAAACTACTTAATAATGCGCGATGCTTTGCTGGGTTTCAACAAGAAGGTCGTTTTTAAAAAGAAAACATTACCCTAAAGCTATTAATTTAACAGTTAGAGATGACAAGTTATTCTGTATTTTACACCATGTTAGTTTTAGTTGAAAAATCATACTTAAAGATTAGATAAGCTTACAACTAATGATGTCAAAACGCTCTTTGTGTACCGACGAGCCAATCACTGCAATACAAGGGGTATATCCACATGTAGGTTGAAATTGATTTTGAACAGTAAGTTTACCAAAGAAAGTAACGAAATGCAAAAACTTTAAAAGTGGTTTAGTCGATTGTAATTTTGTGAAAAGCATGGTAAAATGGTTGGGCAGTGCGTTAACCGATCCAGTGAGCGGAAGAGTAAAGTTGGAGTACACGTGTTTGAAAAATGAAAAACCTTACACACAAGAATCAGTTAGCATATTTTTACAGTTATATTTATTATCATAATGGTATTTCCTGGTGATCGATTGGGTCAAAAAATCAAAAACAAGCACGAGCTCTCAAAAAGGTAAACAACGTCAAGCTAGATTCAAGCTTATGTAAAAGCAAACCAATATATACATGACTTTTTAATTTTAACCCTAACCCTTAATAATAATAAGGCACAGAGAATAGAGCAATTTGCAGACGTGTTTAAGGGTATAAATAGTAATTATAATTTTAATATTGTTAATAGTGATAATGGTAATAATGAATTAAGGAAGATAACAATTCCGGAAAAAAAAGAAAGTAACTGTTTTCCATAAAAAGCTGTTTCATGCCGGTATAAACAGGTAGGCTGCGTTATTAAAATATAGAGCGGATAAACGAGTATGTAAAATGGGTGAAAATTTACTCGGCGCCGACTTTTGAAAATGTCATCCTTTTGGGAACTGCCTGAAGACCCATCAACGGTTCTGCCATAAATATTAAGGATATGACACGAACGAAGAGGAGGTCTGACATCATAAGTGTTGTATTAACTTATTTAGAGACCTCATATATAGTAGTTGAAATATATGGATTTTTTAAGAGCTGTGATACGAAAAAAGTATTGGTTACAACAGGCCTTGATTAAGCAAATAAAATGGTCGAAAGAGCGTTCTAGGCAATTAGGAAAAGTTATTCAATAGGCGTTTAGGATAGAAGAGTAGGAGAGAAAGAGCGTAAAGCTCATTATACCTACTGTTATAACAGACTGCCACAAATGTGAGGAGTTAACCCATCTAGAGGTTGTTAAAAACATTAATGATCGGTTTTGCTGAAAATTTTTCTTTCTGTATGCAACTCTTTTTAACGTTTAAAATTTAATGGTTATAGCTCTTTATAGAAAAGTCATCTTAGACACTTCTGTGCTGTTCTTCCTGTACATCTATCATTTGTTTATTATACTATAATTTAAAAATGCTTATAATAATAGTAGGCTGCACATTTATTTTCAATTTAAAGAATTTTATTTTAACTCAACTAACTGGGCACGGTACTCCAGGCGATCGATGTGATTTTTAATTTCTTGTCCTTCATGTAAGCTCGTTTTTTCTCGGACATTTCCACAAATGTTAACTCCATAAAAGAGTCTAAAGCATATATCATCGCAGTTGACTGAATTGCGAGTTGCCATACTATATAATAGTTAATTTAGCGCTTTATAGGGAGTATAAAAACTTTGAAAGTAGATTAACCTATAGAAGAAACTGCGGAACGAGCAACAACATAAATAATAAAAACGAGAGTAAGGACAATGGTGCAATATATTAACGATCGAACGTTTGTATAAAAATCAGAAAACTCTGTAGCTAAAAATGTTAGGGGTAAGCGTATTATAAATATTTAGACTTAGTTAATATAGCATATAATTATAAATGTATATCAAAATACTATGCAAACCTGCTCCTCTACATTTGTAAGTGAAGTAGCCGATTGCAATAGAGTAAAAAACCGGTATTATGGACATCGAATATTTTACTTGGACTTTTTCGGCAATTAAGCCTTTTGCTGAATATAAAAGGATATTAAATAAAACTTTGTAAGTGGAATCTCTTATTTTTTTTTTGATGCAAAACTTTTTTTTTTTAATGAAAATATGCATAATAAAAGTGTAAACTAAATATTATATATAAGGGACTATCATAAATTCGTATTAGCAAGTTTTGGTAGAGCTATAGGAGATACATACTAAGTGAAATTGATGAGTGTTATTATAAACATAAATAGTGTAAGTACTTCACAGTATAAAGTTACATTTTAAAAAAACAGGAAGAGTTGCAGCAAGGCAAATTAATAAGTCAACCGCGTAATATTTAAAATGGTTTAGTAGAGGGTGAAGCTTCGGTTTAAGTAAAAGCGAAAATGTTTCATAGATAATTCTCATGCGAATTGCGATAGCCGAAAAGAAATTTATGCACGAAAATGCAAGGAAAATGGCTATCTAAATTAAAGTAGTATATGTTAATATATACTTAATATTATTTTACATAAAAATTGCAAACTCATATCAGGCGAAAAAACGACTTCTATAAAAAAAATATAAACTTATACTATTATTATATGTTGAGCATACTATCCGAACAAGTTGAACTTATTTAATTACTATGTAGCCATCATTTCTTGCTGCTCTAGGTTTTATTTTTAAGACCTCATCGACTTGAGATTTCGTATATAATATAGAGAGTGCTGGTAATAAATAACAAATATATAAGCTAGCTGCAACACATATAATAGTGCCCACAAAAATTGTATAACTGTAATTAAAAGTAAAACTACTATAAAACCTATGGCAAAAATCATCGATAAACCCAAGTGACACAAGAAAAAAGGTCCTCTACTGATTACAGCCCTTGTCTTTCTATGCCATATAATGACAACTATGAGCATGATGAGCAAAAACAGATGAAGAAGTCCTAGAAGTTAAATAATGAAAATTGCAAGCATAGTAATTCAGTATGTTTTCAAAATAATTATATAGATGTGTCACCTAAACCTAAGCACCCATAGTAGACAGACCAAAAGTTACTTTTATTACTTTCTATTAAATTTTCTTTACCTGTTAGTAAAAGAGTAATGAAAGTCACAACCTCACTTCTAAGCCTTATATAAATATGAAGGATACATACTATACTTCACTTGAACGTAAACTGCAAATGGTAAATTCATTATTATAACAAACAAGAGTATTGATAAATAACCAAAAACCCCTGAAAAATTATCTTGTAAGTACTGAACGAAGAATTTATTATTAAGGAAGATATTAAAGATGACAAGCTCTAAAACATTTTAATTTTGCTAATTAAAATATATTTCTGCTTAAACAAGTCATTTTTTTTTGTTGCATTGCTTAGCATATAATCAATTTAATTTGTTAAAACAAAAAAATATAACTCACAAACCGTATTTTTCTCGGTAGCCCCCATAATCGTTTTTGTAAGCAGAAAAACAATCCATTAAAAATATTTTGCTACCTTTGATTATTAATCTATTTAATATAAGTATTAAATAATCCTGTTATAACAATAGTTATTGATAAAGTGGGCATGGAAATATTAACTACCACTGAAATTGCACTAATAAACGTGACTGCTTACAGTACAGTTATATTTCCTATACAGATTATTATTCACCAATAAAACATTATAAACTTGTTTATAATAATAGTAGACCGTCAGATAAGGAAAACATTTTAAGAGCGTTATTTTTGTCAACCATTCAATAATTTTCATTGAACTTATATTTATTAAATGCAATGGGTTGCACGTATTGCCTGAGAATTCCACGATAAAAAGTTTTTGTTTTTCTTAGAGAGATTTGCTATTAAAAGCAATAATATATGTATTGTGGTAAACTATATATTTAACTACGCAATTATAAATTCATAACCAGTTATGTCCGTTTATTTTATTTACAAAACATTTAATCGTAACACTATACTTTTTTTTTTATCCTTGGTGAAAAAAAAAATATTCCTTAGTATTCATTTAGCCTAATTTTAGAAATTCCATTAAGATAAGAAGGAATAAATTTGTAATCAACTAAAGTATTGTCTTATAGCTTAAGGCCGGTACTTACTCACAAAAGTTAACTTTTCTTCTCAAACTATAAAATAACTATTATTCATATTGTAGCAAAAAACTTTATGGCTGGTTTTTTTAACTCCTAGTTTACAACTTTATATAATTATAAGCTCATTTACATAAACTTGTAGGGCTAAAAGATGCGAAATTTATGAAAGTATAGCGTACAAAACTTTTGCTAGGAGTTCTTTAGGGTGACCAATAGTAAAAGGAAATTTCTCATTATGGCGCTCAGCACTTCTTACTGCTCTCTATTAAAAAAGATTTCGTTAACCTTTATTACATTTTTGTTAAATAAATCATATTGACAAATTTATATCTATTTATTCCAATGACAGAAGCAGCCATTATTAAATGTGCGGACGGAGATAGTTAGGGGTCCTATCTAATGACTGTGATATAATACTGAGTTCATTAGCAGTAGCTTTAGCAACTTTTCTGGCATAATGAATTAGTTGATCTAGATACGTTGTGGAGCTTACGATTGTTTATCAATGAAAAAAAAACTTTTTATCACCTACTTAGTGCTTTACATACGGCCACATATTTTATATTAAGTTTCCAGTGAAGTTAGTGGTGGCTAGTCCTTTTTTTGTAAAAAAAAAATTTATGCCACCTGTAGATAACCCTGCATAGCCTTAGGAAATGATTATCCAATGCATGAAATCCTCTCCGTAACGCACATTTTCCTATATTTTTATCATTCTCTGATAATTTGTTTACTATATATACTACCTCGCCTAAATCATCAAAGCAAAATATTCATGTACGTGAACTTTTGCTGCGTGTTTTACCCATTTTTACTACAAAAATGTCTTTCTAATAAGAGAAATCCTTCGTCTGTAAACAATTATCGATAACTCTCTGGGGTGCTTTGCTTTACTAAAGCAGACGTTTTGTGTTGTCTTACAAGGTTAATGGTTTCTTGATGTCGTTTTAGTGGAACGCCGAATCCTATAAACAATTTATGTGTTAAAAAATTAAGTTTACTAACTGATCTGACTTGCGCTTGGCGAAACATTTCTGTAGCAGTTGTCTAATTTAAATTATCGGGCTATTTTTTCATTAATTTCTTTTTTATATTTTTAAAAATTGTTTACGACACTATATAACACTGTGCGCTTTTACCTGCCCTTTAAATGTCAACACGTTTTTGTTGAACTTACTGTTATCCTCTAAAAAGTAATTACGAGAATTTTGTTTTATCTAGGTTGTACTTTTACCCTGCGAAGCTAGCTTCATTACTTAAACACGCAGCTCCACTCAATTCAAATTATAAAACCTCCCTTATTTATTTTAAAAGTGAATGTAAGTTTGTACAAAGAGCGCTGTAATAGAGCGATTTGAAAACCTTTATAAAATATGTGTGTAAGAATTTTATTAGTTTACAAATCCATTAAAATTATTTATTGGCTGTAAGCTAAATAAATTTTTTTATAGTCAACAATGAAGCTTAAGGCCCAAAGTAATTGCATATACGAATTTCTTACAACACTAAGAAGTATCTAAGTAGAAAACTCGCTCAAACTTGCTTTTTTTTTAATTTTCACTCTTATCGGTCAATTAGCGAGCCGTGGAAGGATAGTCTTTTAATAGAAAAAGAATAAACTTTAGGAACTTTTATTAAGAAAAAGTTCGGATACGATATACTTGCTTTGCAACCAATTTAATTTGGACTAGAAATAACGTAATGATGCAAAAATAGGTCTTACTATTTTAAATTTTTTAAAAGGTAGACGGGAAAATGTTCTATGGTAAAAAAATTTATCAAAAAACTGAAATTTGGTTTCAATTTCAACCTATAACAATACTACTAAGCTTAACTTAATATATTAAACAAAGTGTAAAAAGTATTCGCTATGAAAAATATTTTTATTTTTTCAGTAGCTTTCTAACAGCGATTATTTATGGCTTTAAAATAACTTTCATAGTAATGGTAGTTCAGTAACAGTGATAACGTATTTAAAACTAATTTATCAAATGGGTTGTAACTGAATTTACTTATTGCCCTATCTCTAGGTGTGCTACTGTCTACTTTTAAAAAGTGCTACTACGGAGACCTTAGGAACAATAAAAATCATTTGCACCGTACATACCGTAGACAAAATAAAAAGAAGCTATTTTTAAAGGGTACTAAAAAAGTTACCTTACTAAGCTGAGGCTGAATAACAATCTGCTCCCACTAAGTGGGACGTGATAAGCGAAAGTTACTAGTGAACTTGTAAAAAACTATCCTATTAAAATAAATTTGTTGTAGTATAGAAAGTTAACGAGTTCTAAGTAACCTGCCTACACAGAGTTTTTAATTTAATAATAAATGAAACGCGCAACAAGTGAGTTCATTTTAAAATTGATCGCAGATACTTCCATGACTATTTTATTATTTAATTTTACATAAATTTTAGAATATTATAATAAACTTTCTTTTTAACCACAAATATATATATATTGCCTTTATATTAATAACAATGTATTTTTAATCATTATCTTTGATTTTTTGTGAAATTATACTGCACAAAAACTCCACTATCTTTTTTGTGTTAAATTAAAATTTTCTTCAAAGGTTTTTTAATTTGGTAGATGGATATATATTCCTTTTAAACCAACAGGAAAGCAAAAAAACAAATTTAGATGTGCGGAATGGCATCGTCGGCTAGGTAAGTTAGTTTGGAAAATAATTGCCCACTTAATTTATAAAAATCTTTGAATTGTGGTTTTTTTAAAATTTTTATATAACCTCTGGAGATGAAGAGAAAGACATTAATAAGAACAATTTTCAAAAAATCCCAAAAGTGCGAGGCTCTTGAAATTGAAATTGTTCATATAAAAAAACTTGCTTGTTTCCTTCACTGGGCTTTAGAAAAATAACTTAAAGTCAACCTTTCAGCAATGAGAATAAGCAACATTCTCCTAAAGAAATTTGTTTGTCTCCATTAAACAAAGATTTTTTGGAGTGGAAAGCCTATTGATTAAAGTAATAATAACGATTTTATTAAATTTATAAACAAAATTTGAACTGTCTTAGGCCACTGTAGTGATAACAGAAATGGAAATAAACATTGTTTAAATAGAGAAGAAGAAAATAGCAGTGGTAATGCTATAAATATTGATTTAACTGAACAAGATAAAGGTTGTCGTTTCATCAGTAATTATAGGAAGGTTACTATTAATACTATAGATGATAACTTAAACATCAATTGTTTGTGTTAATAAAGGCTTCACAATCTTAAGGAATTATATATTTGGCACGAGGACAACGCTGGCGAGGTCTTTGAATCCTTACTAAAAAACCCTTTTACAAACTTACTTTCCTCAAACTCTGAAGGCTCTTTCACTTCAACTCTTCAACATTCTTCCAAGCTTTTTTTTAGAGCAAAAAAGGTAAAAGTTCCAAGGACCAAGAAGCTATAAAAAGGAATAGTGAAAGCCTTAATTCTGAAATTCTCTCTGAACCACTTAAAAGTTCTTCCCCGTTTAATCCCTGCGTTTCTTTTAGTGGTGACGACCCACCTGCACTTTTCTATAACAATTCGCTCTGCTCTTATTTCACTTGTCCTGCCCTTCTTTGTGTCAGTTCTTGTTTAGAAGAGGCTTCTAGCTCAAATCCTTCTAGCCTTGTAACAACCTATTCGCTTCTTTCTGAAAGTTTTTGTGGCCAGTTTCTTTCTCGCAACTTAAGCAATAACAACTGTTTTCAGAATCCATTTTTTTTAACAATCTCGAGGGTCAAAATAGTATGCTTAATTTTAGTTTTTATAGAAATGTCTGTGATTTGAGCAACAATAGTAAGAACCCTTTAATTTGGTAATATTATAGTCTACTTTCTTATAATAACCAAGTTAATTTTTATAACCACTTTTTGCTACTGGAATAGCTGTTGTGGGGGGGCTAATAAATTCGCCTTAAATCTATAATAAAAATTGTTTAAAATGTTTTAAAAGGTCTATTATCGAATGTTTAGCGACGCTTAAAAGTCG